AACAGAGACTGGATGAGCGAGCGGATGAGCGAGCGAACGGGGAGGAGAGGGAGGGAGGAGGGGGGAGGAGGGGAGAGAGAGAGAGGAGGGTGGGGACGGGGCAGAGAATGGAATGGGAAGAAAGGACAGCGGACCAGGACAGGGCAGAGCGGGTGCGGGCCGTGAAACAATGCCGAGAACCTTCGCGGAGGTTCTAAGCGCAGAGCGTGGCCGCGTGGCTGGCGGGCTTGGGCTTGGCCGCTGGGGCGCCTGGCTCAGAGCAGGGAAAGTGAACCGCGAGAGCGCCGTAGAGACAGGCGGCTGGGGACAGGGCTTTGCCGGCCCCGACCCGTTTGTACAGTCAGGACACCCGGAATGACTCCTGGCCCGAGGAGACCTCCGTGCGCTCCTTGGCCCGCCCGAGCTGGCGCGGGGAGGTCAGCGCGCCGGCCCTGGGCTCCGGAGGGGCCGCGGAGGTGAACTCCGACCGCGCGTGGGTTTGGCCTTCGGCGATGACATGAAAACCCAACCCCCGCCCTCCTCCATAGTGTCACTCTGAACGCAGCTGGGGTGAGGACGGGCGTCCTACGCAGGGATCTGTCACCTTACGTCAGCCCCTTCTGCCACTTAAAAGACAAGACATTCGTTAGCCAGTGACATAAAATAAAATGGGGCTGCCGTGAGAAGCGGCTTTTCTATGTAATCAACCCAAAAGGAAGTTCCCTGCTGCAGCAGGGTACCCCGCTCTGGAACGTCATCGAGGCCCTGTCCCTCCGCACCCGGCTCGAGGCAGAAGTGCTTCGTCGCTCTTGTGGGACGCTTTCCTCCCCACCCCCGCCCCCGGCTTAACAGCGCCCGTTTCTGAAGGGCGTCTGTGGCCTTAGTGGCGTGAGCTAGAGCAGGGTGACCTGCGGGGCCCGGCCAGGGGGGCTGCAGCACGCATCGGGGTGGACCCTCGGCTCAGGCCACAGAATTCTGTGCGGGGCCCCACACCAGCTGCGCAGGCGGGCCAGGCTTGCTCCCTGTGGGGCTGGTGCAGGGGGGAGGCAGGGGCAGGCACAGCCGAGCGGATTAGGCCTGTGCCGGGAGACGACAGGCCAGGCAGCGGGCAGGCAGTGGGGGGAGAGGGGACACCTCCTCGTCCCTCCCAGGGCACCAAGACGGCAGCGGGCCAGGGCCTTGACGGTTAGCGGGAAGGGTTTTGCAGATACCTGGGTTCAAGGATTGTGTATGTGTGTTTACGTGTGTGTGCTGTGTGCACAAGTATACATGTGTGCATGTACTGTGTGTGCGTGTGTATGTGCGTGTGTGTGTATTGTATGTGTGGTGTGTGTAGGTGTGTGGTGGATGTGCGTGCCTGCGTGGGCGCCTGTGCGCGTACGTGTGTGAGCACGTGTGTGTCAGTGTGAGAGAGGGTATGTATGTGTGTGTGTGTACGTGTGTGCACATGCGTGTGTGAGTGGTGTGTCCATGTGCGGTGTGTGCAAGTGTACATGTGTGTGTGCATACATGTGTGCGTACATGCGTGAGTGGTGTGTGCGAGTGTGTGTGGCATGTGTGTGCGTGCATGGTGTGTGTATGGAGTGTGCGCGCATGTGTGTGTGAGTAGTGTGTGTGCGAGTGGACATGTGTGTGCATACATGTGTGCGTGCATGCGTGAGTGGTGTGTGTGCGAGTGTGTGTGGTATGTGTGTGCGTGCATGGTATGTGTGTATGGAGTGTGCGCGCATGTGTGTGTGAGTGATGTGCATGTGCATGCATGCATGTGTGTGCGTTGTGTATGTGCCTATACATGTGTGTGTGCGTGTGCATGTCGGTGCACTTATGTTTGTGTGCTGTGCATGCACGTGTGTGCACGTGTGTGGCGTGTGCATGCATGTATGTGAGGTGCACGCGTTATGTGTGTGCATGTGTGTGGCGTGCGAGTGTACATGCGTGTGTGTGCATGTACGTGGTGTGTGCATGTGCATGCCCGCGTGCTTGCATGTATGTACATGTGTGTGCGCGTGTGGTGTGCGTACTTGCGTGCGTGCATGTACATGTGTGTGCATGCATGTGTGTGCTTGTGCATGCATGTGTGTGCGTGTATGTGGGTCCATGCATGTTGTGTGCATGTATGTGTGTGCGTTGTGTATGTGCCTATACATGTGTGTGTGTGTGCATGCTGGTGCGCTTACGTTTGCGTGCTGTGCATGCACGTGTGTGTATGTGTGTGGCGTGTGCATGTATGTATGTGAGGTGTATGCGTTATGTGCGTGCATGTGTGTGGTGTGCGAGTGTACATGTATGTGTGCGTGCATGTACGTGGTGTGCACATGTGCATGCCCGCGTGCTTGCATGTGTGTACATGTGTGTGCGCGTGCGGTGTGCGTACTTGCGTGCGTGCATGTACATGCGTGTGCGTGCGTGTGTATGCATGTGTGTGCGTGTATGTGGGTCCATGCATGTGTGTGTGTGTACGTGTGTGCATGCATGTGTGTGGTGTGTGCACGTGTGTGGTGTGTGCATGTTTTGTGTGTGCACATGTGTGTGGTGTGTGCATGTGTGTATGTGCATGTGCACTTGTTGCTGCATGTGTATGTGTGTGTGGTGTGTGTGAATGTATGTATGTGTGCACGTGTGTGGTGTGTGTGTGCATGTGTGCATGGTGTGTGTGAATGTGTGTATGCATGCACGTGTGTGGTGTGTGTGCGTGTGCGTGTGGTGTGCGTGGCGTGTTTGCCTGTGTGTGCGTGGTGTGTGTGCGTGGTGTGTGTATGTGTGTGTGTATGTGTGTGTGGTGTGTGTGCGTGTGTGTGTGGTGTGCGTGGCATGTTTGCCTGTGTGTGCGTAGTGTGTGTGCGTGGTGTGTGTATGCGTGTGTGTGGTGTGCGTGGTGTGTGTGTGTGCGCGTGTGTGCACGTGCGTGTGTGTACACGTGTGTGTGCGAGCGTGGTGCGTGGCGGGGGCGGAGAACACAGTGGCCCACTGCCCCGCGGCCTCTCATTCACCGTCACCAGCTTCTCCAGGCTGCTCAGGGCCGCGATCCCCGTCCCTCCCTCCGGCCAACCCGCGCTGGGCGGCGGGCGGGCTGCCCGGCGGCCCACATTCGTTCCCCGCTGGACTCACCGTCACACTTCAGCCCTTGCCTGGCCAGGCCCCAGAGCAGAGTCCCGCAGTGCTCACAGAAGGCCGGGCTTTTGTAGTTGTAGACTTTAAATCTGTGCGGCATGTCGATTTTGAACCTCTCCTTGTGGAACTGAAAGACAAGGGGGCCGTGTGACCCTGCGCCGTCCCCAGGTCCCCGGCTCCCACGTCTCAGCGGGCGTGTTAGCCTAGCTAGCAGAACGACAGAGCCACGGGAATGGTGCGTGTTTCAATCCCTCGCTTTTACTTGTCAAGCTTTGTAGTCATATCCAACCAACCAGACAGCCGTGGGCTCTTCTGGGTAAGGGGCCAGCACGTGACAAGCACAGGTCAAGTTGTCCACGGACAGCTGAGGTCGGAGGCATTCCCACAGTCAGGCTAACATCTCACAGAAAGGGAACTCGGGTTATTTATTTAAGTGAGAGCTAAGTAAACGCTGCACTTCCCTTTCTATTTTAATATAAATATTTCTCTTTCTGTTTCCACTCAGAGCTAGCGCGTTCACTTTTGGAAGATGTTATGTAACGCTTCCTCTAGCAGAAGCTTCGCTGTGCGTGTACCATTGTGAAGCCCATGTGTGAAGCATGTCACACCTACTGTACGTGAGTGGACGAGGCCAGAGGTAGATAACGGGTCCGCCAGGTGCTGTGGACACGTGTGCCACATGTATTATCTTAAACCCATGTGATGTCTCATACAATCCTCAGACTACCCCATAGGAAGTAGCCTCTCTTCATGTCCTCGTCTGAGAGATGAGTTAAGCACAGAGCGGGCAAGACGCTTGCCCAGGTCACACAGCCATCGAGTGAGCTGGGCCATCTGTGAGCCTGGACGTTAGAATCAGAGCCCGCCTGTTTTCACCATTGCTCTGCTCTCCCTTAGAACAAGTGAGCGATTTAGAGGATGGGGAGGAGGGAGATGAGAGACGGATGCAGATTTTTTTTTTTTTTAACAGTTTTTCAGAGTTTAAATCCTCTCCTTTAATCAAACTTATCATGTGAACCACAGCAAAAAAATCAGGCAGTTTGAGTCCTGGCAAGAATACCAATATTCTCGTGCAGTATCAAATGTGTTATCTACTTAAGACTTATAATCTCAGCATAAGTTTTTGATTAAACAGCCCGCTTGGGAACGTGCACCGTACTGAAGCCTTATCATTGAAGCGAAGGAGCCTGTGCTCCGACCGAGGCCGCTGGCCAGCCCCGGGTCCTCAGGGTGGCTGCTGAGCGTTGTTTAAACGCTGCCAGCACTGACTCTATTTCCAACCAAGAAAAAGTAACTCATTTCGTATAAGACATTTCGGTGTCAATATGAGCAGGGAGGATCATGTTCCAGGCTAGAAGGCTTCCGCTTTAAACCCTGAACCCAAGGTGAAACGGTTCAGGATGCGGTAGGTCTGTACTTCCCAGCATGACAGTCACTCGGCCACGTGGTCCAAGGGGACGTCTGCGAGGTGGCGAGAGGCATGCCGTGAATGTACGAGATGCCCTGGGTTTGAAAGCCGTGTGGGAAAAATGGAATGTAAAATGTCTCATTGACGTTTACACCGATCGTGTGTTGAAACGTTGCTATTTGGGCAGATTGGGTCGAAGTACAACATAATGTCAAGATTAATTTCACCCACTGCCTTTTACGTTAGTTAATGTGGCTACTTGAAAATGTAAAATTATACTCGTGGCTCCCCTTGTATTCCATCGAGGCTGATGGTCATGCTGACAGTGTGCGGTCCTGCAGGCAAACGGGGCGTCGAGCGAAGGGTGGGGGGCGGCCGTCGGCGTCGGACCGGAGACTGAGGTCGTGTTTTAGTCCCAGGCCTGCCACTCACAGGTGGTTGACCGCAGACAAACTACTGTGACCTCCCCGAGCTTTAGCAGAGTCTCTCGTGTTATGAGAGCATCTTCTTCTGGCTCCAAATTTTACAGTCTGCCTCCTCTGCATCTGCCCCTCTGCCGGAGAAAATCCCATCTGGGCAGGTCGACACCCTCACACTCAGAAGGGCTTGCGAGGGGGCTCGGTGGCCGTACGGCTTTTCCCTGACCCCGAGCTTTCCCACCGTCGGATAATTACTTCACGGGTCCTTTCTCCTCGAAGCCAGCTGCTGCCCTCCCTTCTCCCTCCTCAGACGTCGCTGAGGACGTACGCCATCTAAGAGGGGCTCCCTCATCTGCCCGCCCCCGAATCTACAAGCCTACCCTCATCTGCAGCCATTTCCTCCTCCCTTCCTGCTCCAGTGGGTGAACCGTCCGTCCGTCCATCAGAATCCGTCCGTCCATCAGAGACCCATCTCCGTACGTGCCTTGGGCCTCCTCCCCTCTGGCCATGGCCGGCTGCTTTGGCGGCCTCTCTCTCTAGCTTTGGCCATCCGCCATCACTCCCTGGAGGTGAGGATATTTCTACCTCTCGTGCCTTCCCCGCCGTCCAGCCACCGTTCTACCTCGGTGATCCCTGCCACAGTCAGTTTTCGCGGTAATGTTACACGTGGGTCGCTCCCCTGTCATCACCTTTTGGGGACCTCCGGCGCTGGCCAAAGAGGGGACACCTCTCCAGATCTCTGGTGAGGGGCCCCACAGAGATCTCGTCTTCCTCAGCATCTCGGCTGTGCACGCCGAACACAGCTCCGCCTTTTACCCACTCCTAGTACGCGAAGGGCCTCCCTGCCCCACATTCTCAGCCCCTGCCAAGCCGCACACCTGAGTTTGGACTCCCTCGAGGTCAGTACTGACCCTCTACTCCCTTCACTCACGAGAAAACCTCTTCGGCAGCTCAGTCTCTGCCGGTACGGTAGCCGCTCCCTAATTTACAGATTTGGTCCATTGGCTCTTACGAACCCCAAGTGCATATGAAACTGATTGACACCTGCAATTGGATGTCCGTAGATATGGCCACAGACCAGGGACCGTGGCTCCACTGGGGCGCGAACCCAGGACCTTCTGCGTGGAAAGCGGACGTGCTCACCGCTCCGCTACGGAGCCACGTCCCAGGCAGTATCATTAAGAAGAGTTAGTGGGCTGTCAACGTCATGTCAGGAGAACGTCCTCCTACGTCAGACACAGAGCAGAATCTGAACGCGTACCATGGTTTCTCGGCTGTTGACCGCCGACCCCGTGCACTTGGCTATGACCTTATCGATGCACTTCTTGTGGATGGCGGCGTTACACTCTGAAAGGAAATGATCGCAGCTTGAGGTTTTCGGAAGATGAGGAACCACCGAGTAGAAAGGACGATGGTCGTAGGATGGAAACCGCGTTACTTACGTCGACACTGGTAGCCTTGCTTGTTGAGACCCCTGCAATAAAGCACACGTGTGGTTAACGGGGGTGTGGGAGCCGGCAGCAGCACCCCACGTACCCGCGGGGCGGGGCGGAGTCCTCACCGCCATCCGCTGTCACAGAGCGTTTTATAATCAGCAGCCCCGGTCTATCACTCCCCAAGGGTTAACACGTTTTTGTTATTTTTGTTGTGTGTTTTTTTTTTAATTTTAAAGTGCTTCGTGAAAAGTCTGATAATAAAATCAACGAGGAACGACCCGTCCTCCCCCTCATTTGTGTATTTTCCAAGGGAACGTGTCGAGGTGGACACGCCTGATCAGACATGCATCACGGGCTCCTGGCAGCCCATCTCCCCGTCCCACACTTAAACCCTCATTGTCTCGCTGAGCTCGGTAGAGATCAGCCAAGACATCTGTGCGACGCTTCACTTCCCGTTTCTGAGAAGCTGAGAATATGTGCAACTAATTCGTTCTGAAGCTTCAGACTAATTCCTGAGAGACACTATTAGGGAGGAAGTCCGGGTCGTTGGATGGCAGCAGGTCGATGGAGACCCGCCCAAAGTCTCTTTGACCTTGGACACCCTGGGGAGGCTGGGGTCGCGTGTTAATGGGTTCTGCAGCCCAAAGGGCAGAGCACCCCGTTAGGAGGCGAGAGCAGAGACGTTCCAGGCCTGTGCTCTACCGCAGCCTGTGCCCTGTGCTCCCCGGGGCTGGACCGTCTCTGTCCGAGGGCCGTGGGGGCACTGGGCGCACTGGAAGCGTCTCAGCCCGTGAGCTCCGGTAGGGGAGCGCCGCCTGTCACGGACCTGACAGCTGTCCACGTGGAGGAGGTTCCGATGTAAAAACGTGCCCACAGTAAGGGCGTCTACCTCCTCCGTCCCTCCCCTGACCCCAGCAGCCTCCCGTTTAATCAGACACTGACGTCCCCGGAACCTTTCCCCTGTGGGGCTGGCTTCCTTGTTCTACGGGAACCATGGTATGGCGGTCTTTTAGAGAATCCTGCCCTTTAAGCCACCTCAAGCCAGGCGAGGCCACGGGAGGCTCTCACGTAGTACTTAATGCAACATAGAGGCTGCGACAAAATGCAGAACCTTAATTTGGAGGGAAATGCCACGTTACCGTACCAGACAAACTCGTGGCACACAGAGCAAAACGTGGGTTGGGGGAAAAAGGTGGCCGTGAACTCGTGGCACTTGACGTGATGGACTTTGGCCTGCTTGATGGCTCCTCGGCGGTGGTGCAGAGCGAAGAAGCCCTCCGTCTCGAATTCGCTCGTGTCCTTGGTGTCTGCAGAAGAGCACAGGGGACAAAGTGAAATCCTGTGCTATGGCTGTGGCAGCCGGGGCAGAGGGTGGGGAGATCGGGCAGGGATCAGGCAGGTGTCGGGACCAGTGAAATCCCCGTTCTTAGTAGGGTTGGTGCAGCGGTAAGCCTTTTTTTCTTTAATTCTTGAATGGAGAATTATCACAGGGTGTGTAACTACGGGGTCGGAGCGGTGAGGTCGGTCCGCTGGCTCGGTCCTTCGCCCTCCTGCGATGGTGCTGAGTTATCCTCTTTCAGTTTTTAGAACCAGAGGCCAGAACTTTCGAGGTCTTTATTAACCACTCCTAGTCACTGTCAACAATGAGTCAGCCAGAAAAGGCAGGAAGTGGCAACTCCTTTGCTGCCTGTAGTTCTAGAAAACAATGTGGTTATTGACAGCCACTTGGAAACGGCAATTTTTTAGGTCCCGGGATGCTTTGCGTCCGGTTCCTGAGAGTGTGGCAGGTTGGAGGGAGCTGGCCAGACGTGTGTGTGAGGGCAAAGGCACTGGAGAGTAGTTTACGTGCTGGTTCCCGAAGGTCACAGTAATCAGAGGCACCAGCCACAGAACACACCGGTCGGCGTGGAAAGGGCCTGAAATCGACAGATCACCGCACTCGGGGACGCTGGTGAAGGGACTTTAGATATCAGTGTCCACAGCGCCCTGTGCCCAGATGACCTCTTCCCCAAAGGCTGGTAGAATTTGCTCGAGGAGAACGCACGGTAGCAAGGCGGTCCTGGTTAAACAGCAGGATGGCAAGTGCCAGGTGAGGGAGAATGACACCATAAACCAGGAAGGAGGAAGTCAGCATCATCGTTAAAATAAGGATAACGAATCTGATGGTTCCAACTCCCAGAATCGCAATTTTAAACAGCTTGGAGATTCTCGGCTTACGAATTTTTTTTTTTTAATTTTTACAAATACAAAAAAAATGGAGGTTTAGTCAGCGAGAACAAGGGGTCATAATTTACAAATATAAAGAGTTAGTATTTAAACTAAGTTATTTCTATTCTGGCTCAGCAGTGACAGAGATTTGATAACACGCTTGGGGCAAATGGCCCGGCCACAGTTCCTTATTCTTCATGTCCCTAATGGTGGCAGGCTAGAACACACTGAGTGGCTGGGGTGGGGGCTGTGTAGACGGACACCTGTCCCCCAGGGACCCAGCCAAGTCCCAGGCTACATTTCAGGACCAGAGACTTCTCCGCAGCGTTCAGCCAGCGAGCGTCCCCAACAACCACAGACAGAGGCCCAGGGACGGGCACGACACTGTCGAATGCTTGAAGCCTAGGTAACGTAGGTCTTTCCATTTGGAACTGAGCTGCAAGTAAGTGAGGGCTGGTGAATTAGGGGTTAACTTCCCGGGTCGCAGAGGCAATTGCCTTCTGGCAAGCTCTGGAACAAGTGTGGGATTTGTTTACAGTCCGTGACTGGCATAGCAGGTCGTTTGTCAGTAAGACCTGACTCATTTCTATTTTGGTACAGATGAACTGATATGAAGTAAATGAAGTACAAAATTACTTTTAAATTCAGGGGACGGAAGTGAATTATTCTGGGAACCCTTACTAAAAATTATATACGCATAATTATATTCTGCACATGAGACACTAATACTGTTTTTTTTTTTAAAGTGTCAGTGCTAGAAATGAATTTATTCCCTTGCTACGTCTTGTGATATCCTTTATCCTCTACTCATTCCAAGACGGTAAATTTATAAAAACTCAGAATTTCTTGAATTCATCTGGTCTTTACTGTATTTACTTCTGAAGTAATTTGCTCTTCTGTTTATTTATTGGCTTGAAGGAGCTCTTTTTTTTTTTTTTTGGTATATTTGATTATTTCTTTTATAGTAACGGCTCCTAATTGCTTCATTTAGTTGAATCTATCACTCGTTTGCTGTCAGTCCAACCACACACGTTTCCCGGGCAGCTTCGACGCCGAATGTTGTCCCTAAGCTCTGAGTGTCTAACGGCCAAGCCAGGGAGACGTGGCGCCCACGGCGAGAGCAGCGGCTGATGGCGCCCAATCGACTTGGAGGTGTGTACACCCAGAGGGTTTAGGAGGTTGACAAAGAATGACAAAAGAGACCACACAGGGGCAGCCGGAAGTTTAAGAGAAAAGGAAAACTCGAGTAATAGCATATGGGGCAAGCCAAGAAAAAAAACGAAAACGTTTTTCAGCATCGACGGAGACAGAGATGTCAAGGGAACCGAAGGCTAAGAAACAGGAATTCATTTTCAGGGTGCACGCTCTCGGAGAAAGCCATTTAGCAGGTGGTGCGAAATACCAGCCAGACTCTTAGGGTGTAAGACTTGACGGTGTGGTAAAGAAACTGGGGCTTATAAATATAAACTCCTTTTTCAAGGACTGTGTTGGAAGGAGAGGAAAGAAAAAACGGTTGGAAGTAAAAAGGATTAAAAAAAAAAATTCTTTCTCAGGATCGGAGAGATGGCTGAGTTCAGTCTGTGCTGGCGATGAGCTGGAGACCGAGAGAGAAGGTAAGGTCGAAGGTGGTGGAGGGAGCACGGTTGATGGCGTAGAGCCGCTGGGGGTGGCAGGCGGGACACCCAGCAGGGAGGGAGGACAGCGGGAAGGGGACGCGGGAGGGGGCAGCCCAACTCTATGTGCAGAGCCGGACGGAGCCTCCCCCAGGAGCGACGGGAGTGAAGACACCTGCAGAAGACACCTGCAGAGACCGACAGGTATGGGAATGTTTGGGATTCCGAAGGAAAGGAATTTCTAAATCCCAGGGCGAGTCCAAGCGAGGAGTTCAGCAATCACTGAATAAGCGCGCATGTCCCATGTCCCCAGCACGCAGCCTGGTGCCGGGGTCGCAGAGACAGGTGAGGTCGTTCGCCCACTGCCTTCCTGCGGCGAATTTAGAGTCAGCGGGAAAGCGGTAAATGTCGGAGAGCAGCGTCCGCGGGACGGACGCGCTGGGACACGGGGCGAGGACGCCACGGCCGCTGGGGCAGGGGAGGCAGCAGAGGCGGGAGCGTGGGAAGCCGGGCGAGGATGTTCCCGCAGGGACGGTGTCTGCGCTGGCTTCTGAAGGAGGCGCAGAAGGGGTCCTCGCCAGACCACAGGGACGAGCGCGGCCCAGAGATGAGGCGTCCCGGGGTGCGCGCGTGCCAGGGCCTGGAGCACGAGGCAGAAATGACCCTCGCAGACCTGTGGCTGTCGGGGCAGCGTGACGCGTTCCTGTCGATAACGTACAGGCACCGGGAGGCCGTGGGCAGCGACACGGGTGCGGGGGGAACAGAGGCAGGGCTGTCCCAAGAGGGAATTCACACTGTTCATCCTGACAGCCACGGAGAATGTCTGGGCTCTGGCAAGAGATAACGATGCCCAAGCGGGGGATGAAATCGAAAATTGCTCAGTAGACGACGCAGGCAGAAACCGAGGGATTGAGGCGGGAGGTTGAAGAGCCAGGAGGTTTGCTGGTGGCTGATGTGATGGTCACCACGGCAGTGGGTGCTGACGGGGCAGGTTGCTGGTAAAGATGGGGCAGAGGCTTGCGGAGGGAGACGGGGAGCACCAAGGTTCTGAGCAGAGCATCTCTGGGGGAAGAGGGTGCTCACGAGAGCAGGGTGCTGGCAGGGCTTCCCACGGGTCCGGGCTGCATCGGGAGCGGCCGGCACAGGGCGTGGAACGGGGACTGCGGGGCGAGGTCTAGTGCGTGCTGGGCCGGGGAGGGGACGGGCTCCGGGAGAGAGGGGTCCGACCCCGAGTCCGAGTGATGTCCTGCCGGAGAAGGTTGGTCAGCGAATGGACAGAGGAAAGTGCGGGAAGGAAGCGCGGGGAGGGGGAACACGGGAGGTGGGGCGTCGGGTGCGTGGCGATGGTGAACCCCGATGCTACCACACATGGCGGTAAGAGCACAGGGAAGGTGATTCCAGCCCAGAGCGAGGGAATGGAGTGAGCTATGCGTGAGCGGCCGGGGGGCCCGCAGAGTAGCACGGACTTGGGGCTTCTCTGAAGGAGGGGTGTCTTAATCGGTGTCCACGAGCGTCCCCTTTGTCCCCCTCCTCCACCCTCTCTTCCCTCATCTCCCGTTTCGGCCACGCCCATGATCGTTTTTCTAGTCTAGTCATTTTAAGCGATATCGACATTTTCCCTTCATTCGACTTTCGTTTTTAAAGAATTTTAAAGGCACCTCAACGCCGTGCTCGTGACGGGCATGCCCTTTGCCCCACGCCGGCAAGAAATCGCACCCTTATTTTCTTTTGGACTCTTCCTGGTGTTTCTTTCCTGTAACCGCGGCCCAGACCATTTCCTCATCTCTGTATTGCAAACGTGGCGTTTTATAGGCTCCCTCTAAATCTAGTCTATTTCCTTCCTCAAATCTATCCCGCATTCTGTCGCAAGCGATTTCCCCCAAACGCTGCTTTCATTATATCAAGTCCTGCTCGCTGGGGCTGTGGGACTCCTTGCGGGCGACCTCCCCGAGTCTGCGACTCCTCTGGCCTGACTTCTCAGCCGCCAACGTCGGCCTTTGATCACTAGCTCTGACCGAGCAGGGGCCCGCCTGCCGCCTCCCTGGACTGGTCCACTCACAGTCCTCTGCTCGCTCGTATTTATTTCTGTGCAGTGCCACATTTTTGTCCCGCTAGAGGTCAACGTTTTTGTCCTCCCTCTTCTTTGCGGATCCCAACTATGCTGACCCTTTAAGGCCCACAGTATGGAATTTTCTGGAATGCAGGTAACTAACCCGTAGTTATCTCCTGGTGAATCAGTGTTTATGTGGTTTAGGATCTAATTCTGTTTAGTCTGCACCCCTTCTCCAGGTTGGGTTTGAGACCGCCGAGTGTAAGAACTCGTGTTAGGCTTTTCTGAACCAGAAAACCATTTCTTATACGTAATAACAAACATTCTTAAAATCGAATGACATCCTACACTTCTTGTCATCAATAAAGAATTTTCTAGTTTGGTTATTCCGTAATATTGCTTTTTAAAAATTAAGGTTTTCTGATATGTAAAGATTTAAAGATGGGGTCTCGATTTGGGTGCAGACATAAAACATTTTCAATACTACAAAGTTTTATTCTTAAAAAACAAAAAACAAAAACCAACAGCTTCCTGGACTTGAGTAACTATTGGTTGTGAGACATCGTTGATTTTGGTCGCCTGAATTTGCTCTCCTTGCAAGACAAGATTTAAGTCCTATAGTAACAGGATGGGTGACCACAGAATTATTTCTCAAAGCAGCTGATCTCCACCCCCATGGACTGGAATCGCGATGGAGGACGTTCTTCCGGTTCACACTGGGCCGTGTTTTGAATGGGTGGGAGGAGACCCTGTCATTCAGGAGGGTCTGCTGGCCTCAGCCTTCAGGCCTACACTCACTCTACAGACGCAGAGGCCCAGCGGCCCTACGAGCTCTCTGCCCACTCGGAAGTGGTGGACGGACACGGACCGTCTATGTAGAGGCTCCAGAGATAAAAGAAGAAAAGTTTAGATGGTATCGTTCCCTCTTTAAGAGTTTTTTCTTCTTTAAAAAAAAAAGGTTTATGGTGGAAAATCTCAAATACGTACAAAGTTGAGCAAATCCTGTGATGGGTTTCCGGTTGCTGTCACGTGCGGGTAGTGATCGCTGACCCCGCACCGCGTCCGCTCCCACCCCAGGCCTACGGGTCATTCCGAACAAATCCCTGGTATTATATTATTTTATCTATAAACGATTTTGTATATGGCTTAAAGATAAGGACCCTTTTAAAAACATAACCACCATCTCATCATCCCACCTAAAAATTAACAACAACGTCTCAATATCATCAAATATCTGGCGAGTGTTCACTTTTTCCTGATTATCTCATAATATGTGTTTTTTTTTCCCCCAATGTATTTGTTTGAATCTGGACCCAAAGGAATTATACACGGGAAGCAGAAACCCAGAAAGCACCATCAACTTTTAAAAGTTGTTTCTTGGTAGCAAAACTAATTTAGAAAATAATAACATCAGTTTATCCTCGGTAAGTTCGCATGTTCACTCTGAGGTTCAGGATTTTATGAGTGGTAGCGTTAGATTTGTTTGAACAGCACTGGACCACAGAATATAAATGCAGCAGAAGGAGCTGCTAGGCTGTCACAGGCAGACGCTCGGAAATGTAACTTCTGTGACCAATGTCCGTGTGTGACATGGAACTGAAACCCTTCAGCAAAGCACTTTCCTTCCTTGTTGCTAAAAAGATTCGAAGTGACTAACTAGAAGCCGTTAGCATTTTGCCACGCGCATCATGGAAAGTGTTTATCGGTTTCTAATTTATTTTGTGCCCTGCTAGTGCCGTAATAGAATAGTGTGATAGCTTGTTACATCACATCTTTTACACAGTGTGTGTACACACCGTGACACCTAAATAGGGCCTTTAGAATTGACATTAAATTCTCCAACTAAAATAAAGACCGACTGTAAAAGCACTGGGCATAGGAGTCTGCATGGTTTATAAACTAATGCTATAAACGCTTTCGCAATTCTGTGTTTCTCTAGACCGGAAGTGTCTTTTCAATGGATGCGTGAGCACCACTGGGGATTTTAGGATTTTCCCTTGGGCTTCACGTTTCTCCTAATTCCTTTCTGCGCTGTCGCAAAAGGACCATAAGTCGCACATGACTAGAGGGGCTATGCCCTCCTCACCCCCCAAACGGGAAGAAGAAAAGTCACTTGCCGCTCATTTCCAGAAAGTATCTTGCGTTCATTAGCATTCGGCCTTGAGGTTTCAGCTCTAGCTGGTTGAGAAAAGGAAAGAAATACCAGTCAGAATGTGAAACGGACGCTGAGTTTAATGACATGATAACTGTGAGTCCAGCGATGACAGATTTCTAACGCAGAATCCGAGTATCGCTCATATACGTTATCCCGAGAGCACAGCATCCGTGCGTGCACGTGGCCTTCATTTCATTAAAACACGGCCGTGACTCATTAATTTGACGTGGGGACTAAAACCTCCGTGAGGAAGACAAACAATTCCAGAAGAG